GACCGTTACAGGTGTTATACAATTGGTTTAATACCAATTAAAAGCCATGTTGAATGCTATCCCTTCCAACAGCCCTATATAAAGAGAGGTAGAGCAGTAGCATTTTACACAGTACAAAAACGAAAGGAATTCCAGTAGCTTTCAGCTTCCAAAAACTCTGCTTCTACTCTCTTCTTTACCAACTAGTGTTCTCTACTTTGCTTTGTTTGCCGGGTTCCTTGTTTAGGTGCTTAAACAAGGAATCGTAGCACGTTTTATCCTGGGAAACCTAGGCTACAACGCTCCTAGCACTTGTGGGAGGTAGCAAATAAGGTTTTAAGGAAAAGAACCTTGTGTTCGAACTCGTGCTAAACCTATACCCAACCTTTTCCTTCCCAATTTTCTGTTTTTCCAAATAATATTAATCTTTCCGTAGGATTATTATTATTTTTGGAATTTTAAACCATATTACCCAACATTTTAAATATATTTTTATTTCCAATGGTTGAAAGAAATAATTCAAATTAAATATCACTGAAAAGCTAACTCGTAAAGGTGCAACCACACTACATGAATGTATCCAATGTATTAATTAATCCTGGATGTCTAATCTTGATCTAACTAGAGAACAACATCCATTAATGCATTACACTTGGTACTACTAGACGAGTATGTATAGCTTGTTAAAGTATTCAAACTCTTTTTGATAGCTTACTCATATATTTTTGCTCGAGTTAATACCATCTGGATCCTCCGATCCAATTTAGAACAAAACATGTCTTATGAATTATGGTAAAATAATTTTAAAATGTAACACAATTAAGTAGCATTATGCATGTGTTCAAAAAAGTAGCATTATGCCTTATGTTCATTATTAAGCTTTGGTTTTTACTTTGTTCTCTGTCGGATTATACATACGTTGGAAATAACGACCCTAACAACCAACAATAATAGCTTAGTTATTGTCATTTTCATGAGTACAATGCTAAGTATAATTAGCTTAGGGATCAAGCTGTGTTAAAGAAACAATCTCTATAAATAGGGTAAAAAATTAAAAGTGGTTATTGCATGCAATGACAATGGCTGGCCTCCTTCAATACAAATTCTTCCCAACAGATTTTCTTTTTCCTCGAAAAAATTCTTCAATCCCCAAAGACACAACCCTGCAAATTCATCAACTCAGTCCTCCTGGAAAACCTCAACAAGAACAAGCTGCAGTTGATGAGTCCAAAGTTTTGGGTAATGGTGGTGAGACAATGAAGGGAAAGATGGTCAAGGTTTTTTCTTCTTCCCCACCATCATTCTTGGCTCCTATTCTTAAGAAATGCAAACTTGATGAGGTTTAATCTAAATTCGGCTCGAGAAATTGATGGAATTGTTTGTACTTTAATTTTGTTCTAAGTTGTGTAAATTGGATGATGTGTTATGTTATTACATAAGAGTAAGCTAAGGTTACCAGTACACTCCTTCAGGAGTTCAGGTAGTAGGTTCGTATAGGTTTTTGTCGGTACACAAAGATGTGTTTCGACTAAATTAATAGTCAGTATTCATAATCATGAGTATGACTATAATACGAAGTATTAGATTAAATATTGTGTTTATCGCAATTAAAAGTCAAAAATGATGATAATTAGGACAATGCATGTTAACTTTTCATCATTATATGCATCAAGTTCAATCAAATGAAATTGTCACTTTTTTAATATTCCATTATAATGTGATGGGATAAAAGTTATAAATTAATACTCTATATTTAAAATAGTAGTGTAATACAACGTTAAATTAAATGTACAAAGTGCATATATGAATTTGCTAGCACATACATAAAACAAGAAAATAAAGTTAACGAAACTATATATTGTGCTAATTCATTATTCTACATGATCTCATTTATATATTATGCAAAATAATTATCAATTTTAAAGATCACCAACCCTCATCTCTCTATAAATAAACACCAACCCTAAAGTCAACTCATTCAGATTTCAGAATAATTCTCTTCTTGGCATTGTGGTTGCCAATTCGTGTAGTTTCTGAGGATGAAAAGAATACTCCTTATGTTATTTAAGGGATTTTGTCAAGATTTTGGGGATTTTGGTCAATTTTTTTTTTCTTTTCATCTATTTCTTTGTCCTAATCACACCTACAAAATCTCTTCAAAATTTTACTACTATTGAGGATGCCCTTAAAATAAATTCGCGTGTGTCAACTGAGCGCATTAAGATATATGGTTGCCAATTGGCAACCATTTTGACTTTTTTTTTTTTCTTTTTTAAACTTTTTTTTCTTACTTTTCTCTTTCCTACTTGACATTTTAAAGTTTAAACGGACAAAAAACTCCAAAGAAAAAACTTTGCTCTAAGTTTTCAATATTATTCTTTTTCCCCAAACGAATGACTTTCTTTAAAAAAAAAATAGGTATTATAAATATTGATGCTAACCGTTTCTGATATGACCATATGATCATATCAGAAATCGTTGGCATCAATATGATTGTATTTTTTATTTTTGAAAACCAATATGATTGTATTTAGTATACAAGATACCCGGTTATAGTCATTATCCTAGTAAAAACCTAAAAGTAATATGCTAAAAATATTTTCTATAGAATAAATGAAATTAATTTCATTTGATGTTGTATATTTTGATTAATTTTTACGTCAAGCCAACTAATTAAAATAAATAAATTTAGATAAATTTTATCTGGTAGACGTATAGATTAGTTTTATGTGAGATAACCTACATGAACCTGAAAATTAATTTAGGAATAAATTGATAGAAAATAAAATAAACACTGAAATTGTCATTTGATAAGGATAAAAATTGCAAGTCTTTTTTTTTTTTTTTTTTTTTTTTTTTTTTTACCGTGCCAAGTCAAATCTACTATATTTTAAAAAGTTTTATACATGTACATTTAGTTCTCGGGCTTGGAATATTTATGAAATTTGAAAATTTGTTAGGATTTTTTGGTAGACTTCGTGGGCAAAGATCCCAAGTCGTCTTTGACCATTGAGCCTTTTTTTTTTTTTTTGGTTTTTTTTTTTTTTTTTGAAACGTAAAACTGAAATGTATTAATAATCAGCCAAATACGAAATACAGGCCGGAGGTACAGACACCCACAACTCTAAGACAGACATAGAATCAGTTCCCTGTGCTAACACGTGAGTTACATGATTCGATGACCTCTTGACATGACGAACAAATACGTTCTCAATGTCAATAACAATATCACGACTGTTTAACAATCAATTCAACACACGAAAGGTCTAATGACATAGAATTAAAACTATTACAGAAATTAAGACAATTAGACACTAGATAGACATTATTATAACCACGGGATTTTAATCATGTAAGTGCCTCTTTGATCGCCATGGATTCAACCAAGAGAGGATCCCGTCCACATTCAAGTCGGGCACTAACATCAGCCACAAACTTCCCTCTTGACCATGGAGCTTGTTTATAGTAGAAATGGTAGGTACAAGATTTGTGATATCCATGGGTTCCCAAAGTTGTCTTTGACCATGGAGCATGTTTATAGTAAAATGAATACTAATTGTATAACTAGTTTGGTTGGTGTGAGTGACCGTGCACTTTTGTCCATTAAAAAAAGTTGAGAGTACGAACTTTATATTATTTAGAAAAATAAATCTGGTTAGCATTTCGTCGTGAACACAGTTAAGACATGCTTAATACACCTCGCAGTTAGTAATTGTGCAATAGTGGTAAGATTGAAGATCATTTTGCTAAGATGTCATGATTGATGGTACAATATACGGTAACGATGGGATGCTAGCCCAGTGGAAATGGCTTATACTCTTTAATGCAAGATAATCACTATTGAATTAACTACTTTAATTTGTGTAACTATATTATGAATTTCATAAAAAGGTATAGTAAATTAAGTCAATCAACTTTAAAGATCTTGTTGTCACCCACATTGTCTCGTAACGAGGCTTGAACCTATCACCTTCTACATAAGGGAACAACTTGGTACCAGCAGACCATAAAATCCTAATATGAATTACGATATAATTTGCCAAAATATAGCATGCCGACCAGACGTCCAATGTGATAATTGTGGTTTGTGGATGATGAGAGTTGGGCCGCAAAAGGGGCCCCACACTCTACGCGTCATCATACCTAATAATCTGACAGGTATGATTAAAGGAACCTCGTATATGCACCATTGGATCATCCGGGGCAGTCTCGTAATTATGCCAAACCGGACATGCGCTTTCCCCACTCTGATAGAAACAACTGTACACGGTTTTATAACACAAGCTACCGGTAGCTCACCTTCTATTTCCGGTAACTTTGTTCATCCAAAAGCCGCCACTTGTCTTGGTGGATTATCTTTTTCGCTGCAATACATTATATATCATCATTACCTTCGATTTTAAGGAATAAAATATTAAAATAGTTTTTTAATATATTTCATTTTTTGACAAGTAATTTCTTCATTGTGTTTGAAAACTAAAAAAAATGATTTCTGAAAAATGAGTCATTTAAAAAAAAAATATTTTGTTTGCTATATTTGTTTGCATTCTGAAAACTGTTTTGATGTATTTAGATTTAATTGAATTTTTTACATAAATAGTGACATTACCAATTTAAAATAATTAATTTATCAATTACAATTCACATCAACCCATTAAGACATGGCCACCCCACATCATTTACAAGAATTGATCAAAGACATAACACATCACCAACTACCGGCCTTACAATTATTTATTGTGTATTATTTTTGAATGATTTAGGTCTTGCATTATTTATTGGAATTAAATTAGAAAATGATATTTGGAGTGATATCAAATCAATAATTAATATTTAAAATATAAAATATTTTGCATTATTATATTAGGCTAATGAACTATGAAATTATGAATTTCCAACATCGGCAAGTTGGCCAACTTGCCCCTTGGAGTTTTCCAAGTTGCAAACTTGCAATAGCCAATCGGTGTGCTGGCCTGGTTTAACCGAAGCTGAGGTTCGGAACCGAGCCTCGTAGCCTCCGCTAGCTTGTCTGTATTCTGTAATCTATTCTATAAATATATTCGTCCTCCATAAAATTATTTTCCAAGCTTCGTTTAGCAGGCTACGCGCAGATATTTGCAATCAAAGGTACAGTGTCTGAACGCAGCTCATATTTCTGATCAATCTTTCGTTTTTGCGATTCTTCAGTTTCGATTCGATTTCTACTGTATGATGTACAGATCTACTGATTGGTGAAATTTTCTCTTGAAAATGATCGATTGCTTCCTCTTTTGTTTTGCCTTGTTTGGAACGATGTGTAGCAAAAGACGAGTATGGATGTGTTCTAACGAGAGATTGAATTTTTTGATCTGTTATGTTTTTTGTGTCTGCTGATTGGTTAAAATTGCGATAACTCTGAGATATTTCTTTTGAATCATCGGTCCAGTTTACTTGATCGAGTTGTAACGCAGTGTTCTTTGACCTTTAACTTGATTTGTCTGTTTTCGGTCTGGTTAGTGATGAGTTTTTGCTGTGTTTTGGATGAATTGCTTGCAGTAATCGGAGTCGAAGGAAGGTCATCCATATACGTGTATCTGTGTGTGTATATGTACGGAGTACTATGCTATATTGCTATATGTAATATGCTCCGTATATAAATTTAAGCACGCCTTGATACAGTATTTTAAGATTATAATTTGTATGGATGATGTTGGATTCTTTATGTTGGAAAGTTTTTAGATTATCCATTCATCCATGATAGTTTGGGTAAAGTAACAATTGAGAACATATATTAGGGGATCAATGATTGAATGGTCGAAATATCTTTGGTGAGCTGGTGAGGTATACTTTAGTGTTAGCTCAACGAAGATGAGCACTAAGCAGGAGACTGGAAATTTAGTCTATATTTTTTTGGAATTATGGGTTATCTGGTTCCCCTTTTAGGTGTAAATTGCAGTTGCTAAAATCCTATATAGTTCTATGCTTGCTAAAATAAATGTTCTGTAGTTCTGTCATCCCTTTTTCTAGTTGTTTAATTATGTGTTTCTCTGCATCTTGTTCAATATCTAATTTTAGTTGGGTGGTAAATTTCTTAATGGAATCAATACCTTCCACAGCTGTGGATCTGCTTGGTGTGAGACTTACTGTATGAGTTAACTGTTGTCATTTTAGCTTCTAGTTCTATCATATACTCAGTTTTTTTTTTTTTTTTTTGTTGCTCATATGTTTTTCATACTTGCTTCAGATAGTTGTTTAAAGAAGGAAGAATGGCATTAGTTTCTGGAGGAAGGTCAACACTGAATCCAAATGCACCATTGTTTGTTCCTGCTTCCGTACGTGCATTGGAGGACTTCTCACCTGAATGGTGGAACCTGATGAATTCTGCCACATGGTTCCATGACTATTGGCTCAGCCAGCAGCAGGGAACAGAATATGATAACAATGATGTAGCTGATTTGTTGCCTGATACCATTGATCTCGATGTTGATGAGGACATATTGAACATGGAAGCTCAGTATGAAGAGTTTCTCCAATCAACTGCAAGTGAGCAAACATATCAGTCTTCTCTCGCGGGTGTAAAGGGTTTTCCTGAATCCGGTATGTGACCTCTCTGTTTCTCTGCCCTGTGTGTGTAGCAATCAGGTGGTTGAATGGTTGCTTGTTTTTATAATATGGCATATTGCAAGTTACTTCCAAATTAAAAATTGGAGTCTATACAATGTCAAGATTTCTAATATTCTTGCACCATAAGGCAAGTGGATTATGGCCATCACATGGGATTGCAAGTAAAATGTATTTCTAGAGCAAATTTTGGTAAAACAGGTTGATATATTGTTACTTGAAGTATGTGCTTAGGTCTGAGGCAGTCACTTTAAAATTCAGCAGCAAATATTCTTTTTTACATCAATGATAATTAATTTTCTTTATAAATGCTTGCAGCAAAAGAAAATCACAACTTCTCAGTTATATACTGTGTATATCTGCATTTCTGATAAATCTGGTTGCAAAGTAGCGCTTACTTAATGACTGCCTATTTCTTTTTCCAGGTTTTAACAAACATAGTGATTCGTTGCTAAGAAGTCTGAGCTTCCCCAAGGAGAGGGGGCCTAAATCCCCCATTGAGCCACCCAAGTACTATGAGAGGCCGGCAAAGACTGTTAGCCCGAAATGGAACACTCGCATCATCCAGCAGCCCCGCTGAATGTTTTAGCTAGCCAGGTTTTAGCATAGCCAGCTCTACTTGGCAGTTATGTCACTGCAGCCAGTCATTTTGTCTTTAAATCTGTTGTATCTTTTGTATAGGGCATGGTAGGTTTCCGCCCTTGTATCTAGCCTTGTTCATTCCAAACTTTTGTTCAGCTTAAACCAAAAACTCTGTTGAAAAGTAGAAATCTTTTGACAAAAATGTAAAAATTTTAAAAGTTAGACATTAATGGGTTGTTTGGTAGACATGAATTGCATTGCAATTTTATCACCATTCTTTGGTCATTTTAATTTGGTTGGAGGAAATTATAATTCTACGGAATTGCCATTTTCTCATTTTGTTGAATTGCAATTGGAAAAATGGTCAAATAGGCCTTCAAACTTTTGTTAAGAAGTCAATTAGTCCCTCTAACTTTTTAAAGGTGCAATTACACTCATGAACAATACATTTTGATGGAATGAAGCCCAAATATAAATAAATAACCTTCTATCATAGGTTATTAAAAATTCAACTACTTTCCGACTTATTTTCTGGCAAAAAAGTGACTGGCGAACGGTCACCGGTCATGGAGAAGGCAAGTGGTTGCCTTCTCCGACGAGAAAGCCACCACTGTGGTCACCTTCTTCGATCGAGAAGGCAACCGAAATCTGGGTGGCCTTCTCGACCGGAGAAGGCAACCTAGGTCTAGGTTGCCTTCTCGGTTGAGAAGGCCATCACTGTGGTAACCTTCTCGCTGCTGGAGAAGGCAACCACTTGCCTTCGGTTCGCCGTTCACTTTTTTGCCGGAAAGTGGTCGAATTTTTAATGATCTATGATAGCAGGTCATTTACCTGTATTTGGGCTTCATTGCATCAAAATGCATTGTTCATAGGTGTAATTGCACCTTTAAAAAGTTGGAGGGGCTAATTGACTTTTTAGCAAAAGTTTGAGAACCTATTTAACCATTTTCCCATTGCAATTCATGAAGTATTCTCATGAATTGCACAATTCAATGGTTGTGGAAAAGAAAAAATAGATAAAGTGACACTATTACCCTTACTTATTTTTTGAAACTATTATTATTACACAAGAGTATTTTAATCTTTATACCGCTTCTTTTCTTTTCAAATCAAATAATTCTATTCTTTCTTACCAAACAAAGTAATTTGAATTTCTACATTTCCCACCTTATTCTTTTTTTACTGAATTACAATTCGTTACTCCCATAATTCTTTCCTTCCAACCAAACACCATCCAGTAACATCTTCACTATCTGACGGATTCTGTTTGTTCAATGTTCACTCTTGATGGGGTTTTCTGTGTGCTCATGCAGATTGTCAAGTGGTAATCCAAACATAATCAGAGTCATAGCTGCTCAGAAATGATATATATATTTCAGAAAATTAGAGAACGTGTTGAACTGGCACCTTATCCATTCTAAAATATGTTTTCATAATTCACCATGGAATATACTTTACCATTCCTCAACATCTCAATGTAGGGATAACGCTGTTCTACATTATGCATGATAAAGTCCAAGTTGAGGCATACATGGCAAAATAGTAAAAGGAATGACAACACCGCAGGCATTGCTCTGGGGTGGGAATGACCAGTTTTCTAAGCCTCAGGAAACGTAAAAATAAGTTTACAAGTGTACAAAGGAAGACATTCTCAAGAAAGCAAATATAAAAATGTCTAACGAAGATTTCTATAGTAAAATCTCTGCCAAGAACCATCCAGTTCAAGCAGCAGCGCCACCAGGTCTGTGAGTTTTAGCTCTTCTTTTGCGGTCCCATACTGGAGTAGTCTCAATAAGTTTATGTGGAACCAGCCGTTTTTCACGTTTTGTAAGCTTGCGGAAATTGCTCACTCTCAGTTTGGCGATCTCGGCCTCCTCCTCAGGTGTTATTTCCCTCAGTACGACTGTCAGTCTACACCGTGGTCTTTCCATTACACCAGACCTACCTTTAGCATGGTAAGATACCCGTTTCAGATATAGGCCTTTTCCAAGAAATGCCTCAGCTACACCACCAAGTAAAAGACACAAATTAATGGGCGCAAACAAGATCAAGACACACCAAAAATTAGACTCCGTAGATCATTTGCTTCATTTACCAACAAGAAGACGATCTGGATCTAATCCATAATTGTGTGTAGCATTTGCCCGAGCTGAATGTATAACCTACATCGCAAAAGTTCATATTACACAGGAAGAAATGACAGATGTACTTTATAGGTAGAGATAAGATGCTTCAAGAAGACTGAATTCTGAATTTATCCTCATAGAAAGCAGGCTGAAAAATAACTCTAAAAACATTTTTTGTCAAACTGCTGATCTTAGGTTCTCCCCACTACAAAATTCATCATTGGTAATCAATCAGCTACCTCACCTGATAGACAGTTTTAGCAGCTCGCTTGACTGTCACTTGCAACTGTAATAATGCATCTTCAACACGCATTCCACGAACTAATGCAGCAACTAGGTTCACTTTTTTGGGACTCTGTAAATAGCTCGCAACAAAAAGAGAGAAAGCTATGATATTTTATTCCAAAAGGTCTTGGAAATACAGGATATAGATTAGATGAATTAAAATTGTACTGGAGTTGAAACCAATCTGATCAAAACAAGAAAAACAAAGCCAGAGTGGGAAATCATCTGAATCTTTTAATTTTTATCCTCTTTTTCATTTTCATCCAACATCCAAATGAAAATCCAGCCATTCTATGACCATCATATTCAGGCATATATTTAATTTTTTCTATGTTTTCATTGCTTTTTCCCCCCAGATCATGCAATGCACGCCATAATGACGAACTAGAACTTCATAAAGCAAAGCATGTTTAAGCAGGCAGATAAGTATCATATTGTAAGTACAACTAAGTTAATGGTGTGAATTCAGATTATACTTTCTGTGATGTGGTGGACCTACATAACCATCTTCAAAAAATTTGGCATCTTCTAATCGTTTTTATTCTCTGTTGCTCAGTTCAATAGCTGAAACAACTGGAGCTTAAATAATCAGGAAAATAAAATATATGGGAATTTTAAATTCTAATCTCCATGTAATAGAAACAAAGGACTAGTGGGGCACTTGGTTGGGCAGTTTTGTAGTCTACTATTAACTTTGATTCAAATTACCTTGTTTGTTTGCCTACTTTTGAAATTGGATTCAAATCATTTACTAATAATAAAGGTCATTCCCCTCACCCTCCCCTACTTTTGAATATATTGGAATAAAAATGAAGAAAAGAGAATTTAAAAAAACAAAAAACAAAACAAAACAAAACAAAACTGTGTCATCCATGCATTAAGTGTGGAATTTGAATACACACAAACACATGTACATATTAGTCTCATACTTTTTAAATTAGAGTTGATGAGTTATTAAAAGCCTGCTAGTCACTTTACATACCTGTTTTATTCCCTTCAAAACTGCCTGCACTGTTTTAGGCTTCGAAATTGTTCTCCCTGCTTCAGTTTTTCCATCACCTGATGTTATCAGAGGTGTTAATGGAGAAGATACTGGTGTTGCATCAGATGACTCAGCAAGCAATGCTCTTGAGCTAGTGAACCCCTGCAGAAAGAAGTACATGCTTACAACTAGTGGAGTTTAGTTACTTGATGTTGTAAATGTTATTTTATAATAATGGAGGTCATGCAGATTTAAGTATGAAAGATTATGAAGAAATGTGTGACAAGCAGTCCTATTTAGCTTGGCTACCAAAATTGGATATTTAAATGATGCTTGTATCTTAGAAAGACCTCTGCAATGATCAAGCATTTTCCAGCATATAAAACTGTTGATAATATTTGCCCTTTTTTTCAGAATACATATTTTTAACCTCTATATTCATATTTGTAACAGATTGGGCATGCAAGTGTGCAACTTTAAAAAAAAAAAAAAAAAAAAAAGAGCTGGCATTTTTTAACCTTACCGATTGTTGTAGATATTGGAATAATGGCCTTGAGATACAAGGAGAAAGCAAATTTCTCAGGCTAGGAGAATGAGGCACCTGACCTAGAAGATACATGTAAGTAAGCAATCAAGGAAGTAAAAAATGCACGACATTAGGAACAAAATTTCAGAGAGCATAAGTGCATTTTCCTACTTTCTCGTAAAAGAGAACAAAGGCATTTTCAAACTCAAACTCCAAAAGCTCAAATTTGGATGAAGATGCAAACAAATGGAGATTTCTATGCCACTCATATTCTATAATCTCTAACATATGGTTGAGTTATGAGCTCTGATTGAACCCAAGACATACTTAAGAAACACCAAATCATACTTCCAGAATTAAGTAAGATTACCAGTAACTAGAGAAGCCTTCGAGTGAAAGTAGGAGTTGAAAGGAACATCGTGAGTATGTCCAAATCGTCTCCCAGACTGACGCAGTAAACACTGCAGATGCCTTTGCCATCCCACCATTTCTTCAGGTTGGAAAAGTTTTTCTTAAACAATAATTCCAGCAAAGCAAATGCTAAAACTGGATGAAAAATAAATGAATTTTCTAGTTAAAAACGCGCAAGCCTGAGATTTTAGCATAGCCTCTGTGCTTCATAGGCATTTCATCATTCCATACACAAAAGTTTGAAATCAGGTAAATCAAAAATATATACTGCACTAATTACATATAATTTTTACACTTATCAAATGAAAAAAAAAAAAAAAAAAAAAAAAAAACTGCAACCAAAACAAATAAAAATTTACCTTGACTCCTTGAGCAGCGAGGGCGTCGGCCGGACAGCCGGAGAGCGTGAGGAAGACAGGGAGATTTGGATGGAGGGCGTCGGAGATTGGAGTCGGCTGTGGAGACGATGAGAAGGAGAACGGCGAGAGCCGAGAGGAATAAGGGAAGCCCGGGAAGGGTCGAGGGGCTTACAGCTTACTGGATTAGTGATTTCAATTTTCAGATTTGTGTTTTGTATAATTATATTGGCTATTGGGCTATTGGATTGGGCTAGGAGTATTGATCCATAAGTGATAATTCAATACACACGCACACACGATCAAATGTGAATGAGCTCTCGGGTAAAAAATGAGGTGAAAATCTCAATCATTGATCTAGTCAACATCAATAGTTCATAATGATGTAAAAAAATTATTAAAAAAAACGTGGTGCCATTATGATAATTTACTGCATAATTAAGAACTTAAAGTGTATAAGTTTGAAACTTAAGGTGTATCAATTTGAAACATAAGATGCATAAGTTCAAAACTTAATGTGTATCAGTTCGAAACTTAATGTGCATTAGTTTGAAACTTAA